GGTGTGTGGCAGGTACTGGAGAGAGAAAATAAATGGCGAAGCAGTGCTGGTTGTAGAGCGTGGCCACTGCCTCCCTTACATCTTATTTTTTTTTTTGTTTTACCTGGAAGTTGCCTTCCTTTTTTACCGCTTCCCTCATAATATATGGATGACTTGTATATTTTTCCTGAAATTGTGGTATTCTTTGCTGTATTACTCTCTTTAGATCTTACTGCTTATCTCCTCCGTGTTCCCAGAGCTGTAGGTGTTCGACGACTTCTGGAAATTCCTCCAATTTCCCTGCTTTACCAAGGCAGGATCACCATTGCTGCTGATAGACGTTTTTCTAAGCTGTTTTTAACCCTCTCCAATGTTCACGATTTCACAGCCTTTATAGACAGTGTATTCCTTTCCCTCTTCTCTTCCATCCATGTCCTTTGAATTTTTCTTGGCTTCCCCAGCTTCTTGAGAGAGAATCAGAGATCTTATCTTTGCTTCCTGGTTTTTGTCAGTTCTGCACTTTGTCTCTTGATAATATTTAAAGACGTGTATTTAAGGTTTTGAAGTTTATCTTATATCTAAAATCTCATTATGAAGAAAGAATGTGTCTTGAATGTTGTTCTTCCATCCAGCCATTGACAGCTAAACAGTGCCCAGGCCATCACCATGTCTTGTTTTGATGTTTATGTCTAGAAGTCCAAGACTTAGAATCACAGAATCATTAAGGTTGGAAAAGACTTTTAAGATCATCAAGGCCGACTATCGACTCAACACCACCGTGCCCAATAAACCATGTCCCAAAGTGCCACATCTACGTGCTTTTTGAACACCTCCAAGGGTGGTGACTCTACCACTTCGCTGGGCAGCCTGTTCCAATGCTTGACTTGGTGATTACCTGAGTAGCAAAATATGAGTTCCAAAGCAGATTTATTGCTTACTAAAATAAATAACGAACAAATAATCCCTTGTCATCATCGTGGTGTACCCAATTTGAGGACTAAGTAATTGTAATTAATTTTTGACCTACTGAGATTGATTTGGCTTAACATACTTCTGTCATTTTGTGAATGAATATCTTAGCTGGTTATTTTGCAGGAGAGTGTAGCTGGGAAACAGCCTTAGGTTGACAGCTTAATTCTGATTTTTGGCACTGCCAGCATGCCACTCCCAAAGCAGTGGATATTTTTTTTCCACTGCTGCTTCAAAGTAATTTTTCTCTTCTTTTGTAGTTGGGAAGACCTCTCTGATCACCAGGTTTATGTATGACAGTTTTGACAATACTTACCAGGTATGTGGTAGTATTTTTAAAACATGTATGTGTGTGTGTACATATATATATATATATATATATGTATGTATATATACAGGCAGATCTATTCCCTGCTATTAAAATGTATGCCTGTGAGAACTGTTACGGCCAGTCACATTTCCCCATGAGATGTTAGTTCAATATCATAAGTAACGTTGTAATGTGCCTTGAAATGGAGATGAAACTTCATGTTTAAGCCCAAGCATCTGGTATGATATCAGGAAATACAGTGTACAAAACAAAAGCAAGGTTTAGATGCTGTCTGGATATGTGAGGAGCCTGAGGAAAATGGGGGAAGAACATTGGTTTATGGGCCTGGCTAACAGAGAGAACGATGGTCAGGATGCCTGATGGTGGATGTGGAAGTCTTAGGAAACAGAGAGAACGAATAAGCTATGGACATGTTTATGGTAGTTCTTAGTCTGTAGCATCTTTAGAGGCTTTCCATTTAAGTAGGAATAGTTGAGTCTGGAGTGTATAGATAGATCTGTAAGCAGTCAGCATGGTGTATACTCTCTCTCTTTTTTGTTTTAATTACTTTTTTTTCTTTTTTTTTAACTAAAAGGCTATAGATAGGAAAAGCCAGGGAGATCTTGGCAGTGAAGGAGTAGGGTAGGGATGAAGAGGCTGCAGATGTAGTGCTGATGATGTGTAAGAGGCCTGAAGATTTCAGGAAGAGTTAGTTGCATCAAAAGCACTTAGTGGTGTTTCAAGGGAATACCAGATATCTTTAAAGAAGATGAGACTAGGGTGTAGTCTTTTAATTCAGAGCAGAAAGAATTACAGGTTTAGGTTGGGGTAATTTTAAGTTGGAAAAGGAAGAGAAGATTGTTTTTTGAGGACAAGTCATTTGCTGGCACTGGATCCTCTTGTGCCTTTTGTTTCTTTTCATGACGTTTACAAGGTGCTCTCATAGATTTATCTGCTTATTGTAGTTGTTATAAACTGTGTCCTGGTTGCAGAAAATAGGACTCCCAGCAATAAGCGTTCACTACAGAAATTGACTGTTGGGTTCTCTTCTAACGTTAAGGGGTTCACATTCTGACAGAGACCTTCCAGAACGTGTTATGCTGCCTGGGTTTGTTAAGACTAGAGATAAAATACTGTCTAAAATAGTCAAATCTGTTACATCAGTAGCCTGTCTCCTGTTTCCTGGGGTTATGATGGACTAGAACTTCTGCTTGATTTAAGTGCCTGGGAGCGCATCTAACTTGGTAAATTACTTTAAGTGTCTTTGTACTGGAATTGCTGTACATCAGTGGAAACGTGAATGCAAGGAGGCTTACAGAAAGAACTGCCTGGCAAATGAAGCTTCTGAATGTCACCAGAAAGGAAGCACATTCTGAAATGAAATCCCCAAATAAACATCAGCTTTTAGCTTTCAGCACAGTCGCCCACAATCTATATATGTAATTTGCTCTCTCTTTTGGTTATTTCTAGTAAGATAATTCCTACCAGACTGAATTGTGATAAACCAGAAGGAGATGTCAGTTCAGATATGGTCTATGTTAAGATGCATGAATGTCAGAGACTAAAATTGAGACTCGGAGGTTCTTGTGCAGTTGAGAAGAATGATGTAAAACGAAGATGATGCAGATATCCAGATTGCTTTGTTTTTATCAACTATATTGAAGGCAAATGGTTTCAGCGGCTTAATTATAAGTTTGTGAACATTTCTGAGAGTTTGTATAGAAAGATCGGATTTGCAGATGCTGGAAGGCAAGCTGCAGTTACTGATGCTTCTCTTCTTTTCAGGCGACCATTGGAATTGATTTCCTGTCAAAAACAATGTATCTTGAAGATCGCACGGTAAGTGAGGCATCTGTGTGATAGCATGGCAGCCACAGCCAGAGGAGCAGCAGTTTTGCCTGGCCAGGCCTCCCAATGGCTGCTGAAATCCCACAGCAGTCTTCAGAGGGATGGCCTTTGTTGACTCAAATCACTGACCCACTCTCCTGTTTGTGATACTTGTTAATATCTGATAGCTCTAGAACGAAGGCAAAATCTTTCATGCAAAATTGGGGCAAGCTAATGTTCTTATCCTGGGGAATGGGCTGTTATACGTACCCTAGGCTTAGTTTGCTCCCAGGATTTACAGCTCTGCCTCTGAGATTTGTCAGTGTAAGTGGGTCTGAGCAGACCCCAGGCAGCTCCAAGGCTTGATGTCATTCACAATTACCAGTGGTAGCATAGTTCCTCCTCATAGAAAAACTCCTTTTGTAACACAGTTTTGACGTACAGCTAGTAAAGCAATTTTGAATTTAGCTTGCATGAGATTCCTTTTTGCATAAAGAGATCCCTCGCATCCCTCTCCTGTCTTTCAGTATTTGTCTTTTAATTAGTTTGTTTTGCTAGTACTTGCCTTTTTGCTAGTTTTACTACTGGCTGGGAAATAGGAAACTGTTGGGTGGAGGAAGTGGCTGGTGGTACACTGGATGTCCTTTGTGTTGCTTTGGGTCTGATGCTTCTGAAGAAGTCTTGGCCCAGTGTGTGTGATGAGTTTCCTGAGTGTTTCTTTGCCATCTTACCAGTTATTTGATATTAGAAAGGACCTTGCTTAATCTTTGTTTGGGGGAAACTACTTGGATAACTTTCTCCAATGGTCCTGGCAGTGGCAGAAGCAGAAAAAGATCTTGGGATTTCTGCTTGACACCTATGAAGGCAAGTTGGAATGCCTGTGTGCTGCTTTCAGCAGTGTAGTCTTGATTTCTTCTTCTTGTGGAGGTCAGGGCATCATTACCTGCTGGCCCGCTACCCAGAAAATATCATTTTCTTTCCAATGTTGGCTACAGTGTTAGCTTTCCTGATTGTGTAAGTGATCCAGAGAGCTCATAAAGGTTGCTTAAATAACAGGTGTTGAATGTGGATAATAGGAGGGAGAAATACAAACACACAAGCTAGGGAAAATCAGACCTTGAAATAATTTCTCAGATATGGCTAATGCTGTATTTTGCAATAGGCCTTGATTGCTGGGCTTGAAATGATGAATGCTAAGCCTGTAACTGTGGCATATGCTTTGGCATGTTTGGTATGTCCTTATACCAAATAGATGTCTTGAAATTATAGCTGTGCCATATCACTCAGCTCTAAATATGGCCTGGGTAGCATGTACTAGCCAGCAGAAAGACAATTTTATGTGGAGTTGGGTTCTTCAAGACCATCTCAAATAGCCTCCCACAGAGGGCAACTGTAAGTGTGCCATTTCCAGCACATTGCCAGTACACTGGGATCTGTGGTATTAAGTGAACTGGTACTACGAGAAACCCCATCCTCACTCCTGATTGTCAGGCTGACAGTTCTATGTTACAGCTACAGCCTCATTCTTGAAAGACCAAGTAGCATTTCCTTTTCTATGTCTTGGTATCTTCCCAGGCTTGTTGGATTGAAGCACAAGATAAGTCAGTTTAGAGGGTGCTTGCTGTTCTGGCTTGTACCACACTACTGTATTGATGCACATCAGGCTTTCCAGTGGATTCATCAGTAGTGGGGTGATAATGTCCATGCAGTTAGGAGTGACCCCATCCAGCTGCTGTGTGGTCATTATAGCCAGAGTCCAGACATGGCAGGATGCCCTGGGGTATGTATGCTTATTTCCCTCATTAGCAGATGGTGTGAGAAGGTATTTTTTAGGAATATCTTGGTTTTATGATTAAATGGAAGAACGTGTTCATGTGTGCAAGTTATTAATGGGCTCGTGGAGGGAGTTTTCTCAGACGAGCTAGGGTGAGGTTACTGCAAGAATGTGGTTAGAAGTGTTGGCTCTTTTCACATTTCTGTTCCATTTTAGCTTTCCTTTCGTTGTGTTATTTTTGCCTTGCAATTTTTTTTTCCTCGTTATTTTTATTTCACTTGAGTTTTGGTTTTGTTTTCCATTTTCCTGCTCTTCTCCTTCCCTCTTCCCCTCCACTTTTCCATTTCCCAGATCAGGCTGCAGCTGTGGGATACAGCCGGCCAGGAGAGGTTCCGCAGCCTTATTCCCAGCTACATCCGTGACTCTGCTGTGGCTGTCATTGTCTTTGACATTACAAGTAGGTATTGAGCTGAAGTGTCTTCAGGGACCTTGCTTTTAATGTGTGCCTTTTATGCATTGGAAGTGGTGATGGTATCTGGAAAGAGCTAAGATAGGCCTCAGTCACAGGACTATAGGCATTTCATGGGCTGAGGTGACATAGCTGAGCTTCTTCCCCCACAGCCGATGGTAATTGCATCCCATAATACAGATGTAATTATGGTAATTACATCCCATAATACAGAAACTTGGGAACTGGAAAACTCTGGTCTGCTCAAAGCTCGAACGATGGAAGTGATACACAGAGGATTGGCAGGTAGGTGAGTAGGAATTGTGACTTGTGTGTCTGTGCTGACTGGAATGAAAGATGATTGGTAGCCTTGGGAAGGCTTTTTGCTTTTTCTGGTTTGAGTTTTTTTTCCAAGCATCAGAATTTTATTATTTTATTTTTTTCCTTTCTGGATAACTGGAGAGGTAACACGAGTAACAAGTTCAGCTGCCAAAACAAAAGAGCACTGTCAGAGTAGGTAAAACTGTACAACATCCATTTAAATAAAAGCTATGGAGTGACTTATGAGGATTGAAGACATTGAGAAAGCTGGCGATTCATATGAGTAACCAGAGAGCTTTTGAAACAGAAGAGATATAACTATGTAATTTCTAAAGAATAAACAAGCTTAGAGGGTTGTAATTACATGGTTTTTCTCCCAGTCTGTAGCTTCAGTAGTTGACTGGGAGGATTTCTGGTTTGGTGCAAACTAATGTAAAACTAAATGTGTGGGGTTTGAGGAGTGTTGAGATGTGCACGTGATGACTTATGCTGGGAACACGTCTTGGTGAGGCAGTGTGGCAGCCTGCATAGGTTGGCATTTTTTCTCCCCACTGTTGTGACAGGTACAGGATGCTGTTTATCCAGGCAGGTGGAAAAATCTTACCACAGTCTAGGCTGTTCGTAACAGCTTCCAGACATGTAAAAAATAGTTAATTGATCGCTGATCTCATCGTGCCTTGGTCATGCTCTGATCTTTTCAGATAATTTCATTTTTTCTTGTTACCGTTCCTTGCTGTCAGTGACTGAGAGGCTTTTAGTTTTCTTGTGTTATTAAAAGAACATGCTTAGGTACTTCTGAGGACATGATGGTGAGCGGTAGTGGGATTAGGAAAACACAGTTTCCTTTACACTCTGATGAGCTATACATTTGCATTGTCTTTAGTGGTAGCTGTGTTTGGGAACCTCAAATAGTCTCCTGTGAGTTAATGCTGTTCACGGTACTGTGAAACAGGGACAGTCCCATAGGACATACGTAAGTACCAGCCAAGATAGTCTTAACTAGTAGAGAAGAACAGTTAGCTAGCCTGTGGGGAGCTGAGAAGAAAAAGATGAATTGCTTAGTTGTCCTTAATCTGCTGGGGGTCTTGAAACGCAGGTGGCCTGTGGAGAGATCTATGGCGAAAGTCCATCCTGCAGTTTGGGCCCCTTTCTGTACAAGTTACCTGTTTCTAAGAGAGGCTGGGTTAATGCTTGGTTGAGGACCTCTCACGTTTGCAGACTGGTAGGGTTATTAGCATGCTTCCATGTTTGAGTGGGTTATTTATATTTTCTTTTCCTCTCCAAAATGGATGCACACAAATTCTGACTTCTAGAAATGAGAAGCCACAGAAACACTGCAGCTAACTCTCTCAGGCCACTTCAGGGGTGCCCACACATGGTACTTGCATACCAGCTGAAGGCCTTCCCTCAAATAGTGTTACCCTTCACTACATCAAGATTACTGAGGCCAGTTCTTCCCCAGTTCTGTGGTACTTCCTCTAGTTGCCTTTTTGACTGTGAGTCTGAAGGTTGGAGTGTTTGAATCACCACCTTGGTAAACTTTGAGTGAATGGTCTGGCGTAGCAGCAGTGTCTTGGGGACTGTGTGGAAGCTCGTTCTGAAGTCCAGAAGCAAGAGCCTGAAGCTGTCATTATCAGTCTGATCTGCTGGCACTGGTGTAATACTGTCCAGGTGCTTGGAGTTGGTCATCCTGAGTTTGCTGGGGTAGTGGAGAGCTCTGACTTTTTGCTACTGTAATCAAGGCTGCCTTCCAAATGAAGCATGAGCTAATTGCTTTAACTGTAAGCCCTAATCTTCCTCGAGCCCCAGAGCATCAGATCTATATACCCTGATGTACATATTATGTTGTTTTGAATCTGCTTTTAGCAAGATACTTTGCAGGCCTATGCTCTGCTTCTATTTCTTTTCTAAACAAGCCAATTATTGGTCCTTTGGAAACTCCTGCAAGTCTCCTGCAAGCTGCCTTATTAACCGCTGTTCTGTGCATAAACAGCTGCTCTCCCTCATTGCTGAACAAGTGGCTTTGAGAGCACATCTAAGCAATTCCTGTAATTAGGCTGGGAACCAGTATCTGCCCTCCTATGAAACTCGTGCCTGTTGAGAATGCCAGCAGCAGTCTTGTTTTCTGGCAGCATGGCACTGCCTGTATAGCTTGCTGTGCTGGGTAATGACTTGGAAGGAAATGGTATCACTCCCAGTTGTGAAAAGCTTTTGTTTAGCATTCAGTGTGGTAGCTAGGCATGTTTTGACCATTGCTGTTTCAAATAGACAGGTTCCAGACCTTAAAGCTATCATATATAATAGGCCAATTTGTGTTTGGGTATAACTCTGGAGTTCAAACTGTACCTCTCATAGCATTTGTGCTTGTTTCTGACTCTTGTGCTTATCTGAAAGGGAGAACCCGATGCCCTTTGTGTCATGTGAAGCCTACAGTGTGTAGCATTTTTCTTTGTTTCTGCTGTAACTTAAGTTATTGATTGCCTTAATCTTCCATGAAAATCCCCATTGCCACCTACTGGATGCTTGATGCTGGAGAATGAATGCTGCTTCACTACTTGGTGCCTGGGCTGAGGGAATTGCATGTCTGTCATGTGGGATTTGCCCGAAAAGCTTTTATCTGAGATGCTCTAGGCTAGGAGTCCTGAGGAGACCCCATACATAATCCCGGGTAGACCAGGAAGACCAGCTTCGTATTGGTGGTTAGTTACTGCTATCAGCAGTGAGGTAGTAGCCATAACCTAGAGCTCTTTGGGAACAGCAGAATCTCTAGGCGAGCAGAAGAGGTAATTAGACACATTATATACAAACAGAGTCAGAAAAGCCAGCTGCTGTGCTGTTTGGATATTTGGATTTCAAGGTCAATCTCAGCTTCTCAGACTGAGCTGCATATGGTTAATACCAGAAATGGCCTTTTCTCTAAAGGACAGTTTCCTCCTTTCTTTTCTCTCTTGGTCTCTCTCTTTCTCTCTGCTCTCCCTGGCCTGGTACCAGCAGGTTCGGCTGCAGCTTTGGGACACAGCAGGCCAGGAGCGGTTCCGCAGTCTCATTCCCAGCTACATCCGCGACTCCACTATTGCTGTGGTAGTCTATGACATTACAAGTGAGTGATGCTTTGGTGTCTCTTTATTTGAAATACTACATGTAAGCAGAACTAATATTGTTGCAAGCAGAAGTTCTGCAAAAAGATGATTAACGTTGGAAACAGTTTCCCCCCCTGCTCCCTGTTTTTCTGTCTAAGCAGAAAACAAGTTATGGGTCATTCTTATGTGGTGTGGGGAGATTTGGAGAAGCACCTGAGTACAGGCATAGTATTCTTACTCTCTGAAAAGAAATTTTATCCTCATGACTCGCATTTGCTTCTTCTCTGCAGACTTGAATTCTTTCCAGCAAACCTCGAAGTGGATTGATGATGTTCGGACAGAGAGAGGAAGCGACGTCATCATCATGTTGGTGGGGAACAAAACTGACCTGGCAGACAAGAGGTAATGGAGGGGAACTGGTGCCCTGACCAGTGAAAGCAAGGAACTGGCCAAGTAGTCTGTCTTCAAAGCTATTGTTGATTTTAAAGCATAAATAGCTTGTCAGGGAATTCAGATTTCTGGTTGCACAAGGTGTGAAGCTATTCCATTTTGCTGTTCTACAAACAGGTTTGGTTAAAACACGCCCACCTAAAAAAAAATTAATTTACTTAAATCAAGTATCACTATATCATGTTTCTCAGTAGTGTATTTTGTCTGGTTTTTCTTTTTCGTGCTGAGATAAACCCCAAAAAAGTCTTGCAAAAGCGAGGAAATGTGCCTTTTGTCAGTAATTCTATTTACATGGCTCTGCATGTGCAGCTGCACAGTGTCGATGTCAAAGCTTTCCCTCTGAGCCTAAATTTTGTGTCATACATACCACAAAAGCAAACTGCCCCAAGAGATGTAAAAAGTTAATTAAACTCTTAAAATCATGTGGACTTAATGTTTTGGGACATTTCTTAAAGCACTTTGCTTTTACAACTCTTAATCCTACAGTGCCAGTTAACAAAACCAACATGACCAATATAAGAGCTTCTTAGAAGACCATGGGCTTGTGCTTTTACATTTCTGTTTCACATTCTTCTCTTGATTGTTGATTTAGCAAAAACTTTGTTTCATGTTGTCAGAGATTTTTAGTCTTTATGAAGGCATCGGAAACAGTGCAGTTTTAATTGCAATGATTAGTGTCAGTAGTGTTTGGCAAAGGGAAGATGGAGTAAGCCACTTAGTTCCTTACAATCCCAGTACTTCAACATCTTCACATATACCAAGTACTCTACAATGTGTGCTTTGTATGTCACAGGACATGGGAAGCATTGAAGTGATGGGGAATTTTTATCTAATGCAAAAGAAAGCATCCCAAAAAAGCTAAAATGGGAAACACCTGGATCTTACAGCAAAATGGGCTCTTAAAAAATCAAACCCTTATCTATTGACTGTTCACAAAATACTTCTTATCAAAAGATAACAGCTTGAAAACCTTAAGGTGGAACAGCAATGTCTCAGAAAAATCTTGAGCTGATACCTGAACTGCCTGATTGTTTACCATGTTTCTTGGGATGATGGGCCTGACAGGGATCTGACTGTTTCACTGCTGGATGTTACCATCTTTTAAATCCCCAACCTTGCTTTACTCACTTCTGTAGTGTACATACTGCTTCAGAATGTATAATGATGTGGTTTTTTCCTTGTGGTTTTGATCTTGTCCAGATGCTCATAAGAGATGATAGCCAGCACCCCTGGCTGCACAAAGTGGTGTCAGGAGATGCTTTTTTGCTCTTTGTCCCTGTGCAAGTCGTGCTGTTAGTTTTTAGTTTGCCATGCCTAGCAGTAAGAACATAGACAGTTCTAACACTGGCAAGTGGTTTGAATTAGTGGGGAAAAGGATAAAGTTAGGCTTTACCTAGGCTCTGTATGGACTTTTTACTGTTGATTCTTACAGAAATCCGTTCTGTGTCCTCCATGCAGACCACCTTAGTCTTGACAACTACTTGACATTTCCCACTTCGAGCAGGAGGCCGTTCTAAGTGTCCTGCACCTTGCACTTTGGAAATACTGGTAAAACTTGGTCATCAGAGTTTCAGAAATACAATTAAAAATGTGTATAGAGCCAATTTGGATTAAGAAAGCCAGGTGGCAAGGCCTCGCATCAGTCTGGTCTCTGAAGTCAGCTTACAAAAGCGACTGAGCAAAATCCAAGATGTTCTGCTTGAACTGAGACTTTCTAATGTCTATCAAAAACCAGTTTCATGTGGAACTGGAAAATCCAATGAGGTCATTTCTGCCTTGAATTATTTCCTGATAGTACATCAGTGAAGCAAAGCGTGTGTGCAGGACAGCTGGGCCAGCACTGCCATAAGAATTAAAAAATACCAGAAAACTGTTCGAAACATAGCTGCAGTTGAAGTTCCTGTAGCACTAGAAATTCTTATTTTAGAAGCTTAACGTAAGTGACAGTAGTCCTGGCCTAGGCTAGAATTTGGAATTGTGGTACATATCCAGGTATCAGTAAAAGCAGCTCCTTTGCCTTTCTTATAAAAGGAAGTTAGATTTGTGTTAGGCTGAAATACGGGGCCTTTTAAGGCTGGATAAAACCACTGTATCAGTCTGAGCTTGGTCACATCTTTTGAAATAGAATGCAGCACATTGAAAGCCATTCATCCAGTGGTAAAAACCAAGTGATGATGTGAGTTAAGTTCTGAAGCCAAAAAGCTGAACTAAAAATAGCACTGTTCTTCTTTGGTGCAGCCTGTTAAGTTTTTCTTTTCTGTTAACATTGCTTCAGTTGGTTGCTGGTTTAGGTTTTTTTCCCTGCAGTTTTCTTTTTATAATTTTGGGACTATTTTTATTTGTTTTGGTTTTTCTGTGATTTGTTCTCGTTGCTGTAGACAGGTTTCTATAGAGGAGGGTGAGAGAAAAGCCCAAGAACTGAATACAATGTATATTGAAAGCAGTGCTAAAGCAGGATATAATGTGAAACAGGTATGTGCAGGGTATTGATCAGAGATGCAATTGCTGTTGCTTGCTCACAAGCAGCAGCCTTGCGCTTGCTGTTGCACTGCACATACCGCTGGAGCCTTTCTGAAATATTTCTGTAAGTTCCTGGAGTTTCCTTCTGTTGACTTTTGGGAAACTGCTTTTTGTATCAGGTGCAGTGTGTGGGGATTCTTCCCTTGAGGATGACTGCTTTTTGTATCAGGTGCAGTGTGTGGGGTTTCTTCCTTCCCTTGAGGATCCTGTGAATGAGACTCAAATGTACTGCACAAAATTCACCCTGTGCTTATCACTCATTGTTAGTGGTCCAGGTGTTCCCTGGGTACCTTACCTGAGGTTGTTTCATTTTTAGCTGGAGGACCTGAGGGTCTTAAAGAGTCAGAGGTGCTGAGGTCTCTGTTGGTGAACTGCGCACTCTTGTAAGGGGTGGTGAAGCAGCTCTCCACTGTCTCAGCCACAGCCATCTCTTAACTCTTCCTGTCTGTTCTTCATTTCTGTCTTTCTGCTTCTGTTTGCATCTTTGTCCAGGCAAATCACTACAGAAGAAGGTGAACAGAGAGCCAAAGAGCTGAATGTGATGTTTATTGAGACCAGTGCAAAGACTGGATACAATGTGAAACAGGTAGATCAAAGTTCTGTTCTAAAGCAGGAAGTCTGCTTTGCTGCTTTGGATGTGGGAGGATTTAGGGTTAATGTTCTGTCGGATACTTGTTTGTTGTCAGCCCCTGAAATGCTGCTTGCCCAATGACCACTGCTGCTGCTTTATCTCTGGAAGTTCCCTTTCTGTCAAGTCAGTGATTCCCTGCTAAAACTAAGCAAACTTACCTTGAAAGCAGAGTCTAAAAACAGAATGTGCTGAGGGATAGGAATGTCACTGTTTTGTGCATCCAGTCAAGTGTAATTTTGTACATTCACTTTGCTTTTGTTAACAGTTAATGCACTGTTTTCTAAAATTAGTGTTGACATCAGTCAGGATAATTGCATGTGCTGATGCACTGGAAGTTCCTGCTTCTGTTTGCGAGCCGCAGAGGAAAATCTTAGAGCGGTTGAGGTTGGAAGGGATCTCTGGAGATTGTCTGGTCCAACGTTCATGCTCAGAGCAGGCTGCCCAGAGCTGACTCCAGCTGGGTTTTGAATATCTCAAAGGATAGAGACTCCATCTCTCCAGGCAACCCGTCACAATGTTTGACTATCTGTACAGTAAAAAAAAAACCAACATCTTCAAACATTTTTGTTATGTTTAAACAGAATTTCTTGTATTTTAGTTTGTGCCCATTGCCTCTTCCTATAAACTTGTGATCCCACACTCCACTGGTTCAGGAATTGTTCTGAAGCATGACAGAACTTGAGGAGTAAGGCAGCCATAGGATCCAGGGATCTACAGGGAGCATGAGTAGTGTTGGTGTTGGCTGGAAAACATGCTTACCAGTTTGCTGAACACCAGCTGGTCAGGAGAACCTCACAATGAGATTAGGAGACTTTTGACTATTCTGGATTGAATCCACTTTAATCTTTGGTAACCAAAGTTAAAGATTAAAGTGGATTCAATCCAGAATCCAGGCTTTATTTGCCTAGCGGGTGTTTGCAGTGAGATCTTATGTGAGTAAAAGGATGCTAACTGCAGCACCTTGCTGCTACCTCAGTTTCTTGATTTTCCAATTAACACAATGTGGAGGGGCGGATGAGAAGCCCCTGCCAACCTACTGTTAGAAAAATGGTCCTTAGCTGGTGATTCCTCTAGTTCTTTATGCAATACTTTTCACCATGCTGCCTAGCAGTGTTTGTGTTGTGTTAGCTGCTGCACTAATGTCAGCAGGAGGAGCTCTAAGCACTGACTCAAAAAATTATGCAAAATCACTTTGGTTTCTTTTTTTATGGGGATATGATAGTCCTTCCCAGCTCTAGCATATCCTTACAGCTTAAATGCAGCTCACTGAGCCAGCTGTTCTGCTCACCAATGGCTGGATTGCAGCAGGACAGAACTGAAAGCATGGGCTGTTAAATCTCAGTTATTCCGTAAGCTTCTTAAACCTGTGGTCTCCTGCAGGGTTGCTTGTCAGAAATCCTGAGTTGTGCACTGTGTCATTGCTGTGTGCAAAAGCAGTTGGGGCTGGCAATGGTAGATTACATTCCTACTGAGTGCAGGAGGGAAGCACTGTTACTAATGAATTCCATGTTGTGTTCAAGTAGAAAATGAATAAAATCAAAGTCTTGTTTTGTAGGCATTGAATAACTTCTTTAATAAAACCTATTAAATTTCTTAGGTCAAATTCTTGTGGCATTTGTTGATCTGCTTTGCTTGCTAAAGTACCCACATACCAAGTTTTTACAGTTTGGACTCTAAGGTCTGCTGCGAAGTGATGTTTTTCAACATGCATTTTTTTTCTGACGAGAATTCAGCTCTACCTATTGCTGCCTTTCAGCTTTTCCGTCGTGTGGCTGCTGCCTTACCTGGGATGGACAGCACACCAGAGAAGAGCAAAGAAGACAGTATCCTTGCTTTCTCTTCAGTAACGTTCCTATTCTTGTAGAATTTGGCAGCTCTCCGGTGTTAAGTTGGGCTTACTGACTTGTGGCACATTATGGGGATGGGTGTTACTGGGGTTTTGCAGGGATGTGGCTGAAACAGCCATTGCAGTGTGGTGCTTAACTATGAGTGTAAATTGAGAACCCTGCTTGTGGTCTGTATATAAAGGTACCCAACTACTTATAATGGTAAGCTTAATTTTTGCTTTCTCCACTTAAGCTTAGGATATAATTTGCATAGTTTTAAAATACCGTAATATTTGCTGCCTTTTGCACAGGGCTGTCTCGTGCACAGTCACATGCCATTGGGCTCAGTCCTCTAAGTGGACTTGATATACCCAGTCCACTGATTTTGCAGTTAATTCTGTTCATGCAGGACATGTTCTGCTCTGCTAAAACACCTTTCCCTTTTCAAGGGACAACCTTTTCAGATACTGATACCTTTCTCTGTTTTCTCCTACTTGTTTCTCCTTGAGCCAAGTGATTTCCTTAACTTGTCTCCTGCAGTGATCGACATCAAACTAGAGAAACCTCCTGAGCAGCCAGTCACGGAGAGCGGGTGCTCCTGCTAACAGACCCGTTCTGTAGCAGCACATTCCCCAACCGGCCAGTCTCACTGAAGAACATCACCGCTCATTGGCTAGGCAACCCTACTTTGTGGGCTGAAAAACCAATCTACTAAGCGAGCGAACTCCCTGTTTACTGGTGGGGAGCAGCCCCGGCCGCCCCTCTTACTGCATGGTATGAGCCCTGAGTGCAGAATGAGTGTCCTGTCTTTCATTTTATTTTTTATGTTGTTGCACTTTGGCACTGTGGTGCCTCTTTCTCTTCTCTCCTTCTCCCCCTCTTCCCTACCTTGAGCCTGTCTGCTCAGATGTATCTTGTGAATGCAATGGAAAAGCCACTAAGTTAGGGAAGACAAAAATAAAGCTTGGGGGTGGGCTTTCCACCTTCCTTACTGCCTTGCATCTTAACTAGGTCCCTGTCCACTCCAGCCCCTGTCTTTGTCCTGCATCCCCACTTCTTCTGTTGAAAGGCTGCTCCTTTTAAACCAGTCAGTTTGACTTGGCCTTGCCTTTTTGGACAGTACAGGTTATCCGTTTCTAGGCTTTTGCTTCCTGCAGGGCACACACAATATTAGCTCCTCAGTTTCTCCTTTCTGTGAATGATCTTGGCCGACTTCTGGTCACGACTTCTGAGTTTTGCCCCTGGTGTTACACACAGCACTGGAAACCCCCAGACTCTGATAGCTTTGGCCTTGTTGCTCCTGTTTGTGTAGCAGAGACATCCCACAGCCTGCTCTCCTCAGTTGGAATATCTTCCCATCCAGAGGATGCTGGTGCTCGGTGAGTGTTGTCTGTCAGATGTGGGGAAGGAAGAGGGTACAGAGGCTTTGTAGCAAGAGGCTGGGTGGGGAGATTTCCTCACGGTGGTTTGTAGAGACCTGGGTCCTGTCTGTCAACAGCGAAAGCAAATAGTTATCCAAAATACATCACTTACAGGGGCAGTACCTGCCCTGGGAGTCAGGGGTACTGTTCAGGCTGCTTTCCTAGTCTGCATTCTCTTGTTCATTGTCTTGTAGACTGGGAGCTTCTTCACGCAGAGTAGGAGAGCTACGGCAGATGGAAGGCCAACAGTAGCTGTTCTGCTCATGCTTAGGTTGATGCTTGATGAAATCACACATAGCTGCTGCTGCCTTTGTAGTAGGGTTCTGGAGGATGGGGCTGGTGGCTATTTCACTTTTGGAATAGTGTTAAGCTGTAACATTGCCAAAGCTGAGATGAGCAGTGGCAGGGATTTATTGTCATACCTGGGCAGAGGGATGGAAGAGTGTGTGCTGCTGGAGGGAGTTTTGGTGTCACTTCTTGACCTTGGAGGTTGGGAAGTACATTCTCTTCCCCCTAGCCCCAATTTTGAAATACATTAATGGAGTTTTTCAGAGACTTTTACTTGGGGTTTTTCATCCATCTGTCCTAACCAGAAGTCTAGGTTTGTTGAAAATGAGGAGAACAAAACAGTCTGATGGCTCTAAGCCATTCACTGTTCATTTCATCACCGGGCCTATGTCATGCTGACAGGGGGGATGCTAGCGGGCAGGAGAGCGACTGACCGCGGTGTGATGGCTGGGGATGACAGCATTGGTGGTTAATGGCACCCCATAGCAGGGTGCTGGTCAGTCACTCATGCAGTGTGCGCACTTCGAAGTCTGCGAGTCCGTTGAGGGAGTGGAATGGGCAGCCTGGGTCCAGGAGCTGGCAGTCCCCACATTGGCTTACTGGTGACAAGTCACGTCGCTGCCGGTGACTGCCCTTTTGTTCCCCAGAGCCTTGTCCCTTCCCCTCCAGGTGAGCTGGCCTGCAGGAGAAAGCTGGGATGTTGTTCCCCCATTTCGCTCTGGAGTGGCCTCCCCCCTTTCCCCACAGTCCCAGCTGGCAGAGCAGGACCCGGTGGGAAGCTCAGCCCCCCCTCCTCTGTACATACCCCTGTCGTGTGGGAATTGCTGATGTTTGTCGGTGTGTCCGTGTCTGCCGTAGACCAGGTTTTGCTGTCCCCTTCTCACAGGCGGTGTATGCTGCTCTGCTGTCGTGTTGTTCCAAGTCACGGACCTGGGGGGGAGGGAGGGGG